ATTGATCTTGTTGGTTGACGATATCAAGCTTAGATGGCTTGCTTTGCAACAACAACAAAAATCGTGGGAACCGAGAACTTGGCATGGCCATATGTGGTGCTAATAACTAAATCTTTTTTCCGACCCCGGGAACAGTGACTAGATATTAAAAAAAGCGGTGCATAAAAGCAAGCAAATCAAAGCAAAAGCTTAGGGAAGTTTTGCGACTTACATCTTTCTTTAATGTATACTACCTTCCGTAGCTGCGTCTTCTAATGGGGGCCCCTCAGACTAATGGCGTCTATACCACGAAAGAACTCGTGCATTCGGTACGCTCAAGAATGTGAACTTATTTTAACAGCTACATTCATGCATTTCCGATATTTTGAATCCATGCGAGCTAACTACGGTCCTCTTCAAACAGTGCTGTGAAATGGTAGGTGTCGTATTCAAGAGTTCGCTCACAATGTCACAGTGTACAGCACGGTGCAATTGGCGCGCATTGAGAGTGGCACTCGAGAGCCATTGCTATGACACCGCTTGCTGTATTTTTTACTGGCGCTTTAGCATGTGGCTTGGGGTGTCTTACACGAACGCCTTTGTTTGCCGCATCGCATGGGCAGACAGTGCTGCGTGTGACCATTGCGGCGCTGACGAAACCATCGAACATATTTTGTGTCAGTGCCCTCAGTACAACTGTCAGAGGCAGTCCCTGTCAGCAGTGTTTGCACACCTCGACGACCAGCCGCTTACCGAAAAATTAATTTTGAAATGCCGGAAAGATCGAGCTTCACGATGAAAAGCAACGAAGGCCCTACTGAAGTTTCTGCGATCGACCCGCCTCGTCGAACGATTATGACAATCTAGTTTTGTGTGAGTTTCCTCTTCCCTCCCACTCTCTTTCTCTCTCTCATCCCATTTCCCTTACTTTTCTGTCTCCCATTCCCTCTTCCTCAGTGCAGGGTAGGAAACCAGATATTTGCTTTCTGGTTAACCTTCCTGCCATTCTTCATAACACATCTCTCTCTCTCTCTCTCTCTCTCTCTCTCTCTCTCTTAGCATTCCCAGGGTTACCATTTTAGGATTCCCAATTATTACCAAAGCTAAAGTATTGCCACGAGAGGGCTCACTAGGTGGGATGTATAGGCGCGTGCTTTCAATTGAATTACAAGTCACTTTAGTCAGTTCGTTACCTAGATGTGTTTCACCGAAAGCTGGTGCCTGCATATTTAAACAAAAGTTTCGATTTTCCAGCAGAGCCGCGAGGGCAATGTGCCCGCACTCAACTGCAGTGTCGTTATTTAGGGGGCTAGGCCGTAATATCAGCGTAATTGCCATAAAATGAAGTCAAAACTTGCCATCATCTCGGCCCAGTATGTCCTCGTCTAGATTGTTTCTTTCGCAGGATACCACAACTGTCAGAGCAACGGACTAATATCGTCTCGTGATTAAAGTTCACACTAAGTTCTTCATGACGGAGTTACAAAACCTAGCAAGCAAGCTTTCTTGCACTTTCCATACGCAATGGTACTGCATCCATTTTCGGTACAAGTGTTGGGTGCAGCGTATAGCGCGCCGCGTGTTTAGTCACCATGGGCAGGCTAAAGTACGCGAAGCGCACGAATGAAAACACCCGTTTCCTGAAACTGGCGAGAATCGCATTATTCTTGTACGTCAAAATGAGTTCCACGCGTCTCGACGCATGACGAGAGGAAGCACGTGGCTTTTTTTTTTTCATTTTTAGGATTATTTTTTAGCAATGTATGACCTCGCGAAAAGCAAAAGGGAAGAAAGAAAGACACCAACTGAGCGGTCATCCACCCGCTCACGGTTTGGCAAAGCGATGCCGGTTTCCTACAGCGGCGAAATGAAAGCGAGCGGTGGCGAAAAGCCAGAAGCTGCAATAATGTGTCGCCCGTGCTCGCAGGGCCAGTGTTCGAACGTTCTCCACGGCTGCTTTAAGCCAGTGCGACGCTTGAATATTTATACGACACCATGCAGAGTCAACGAAAAACAACTGTACAGAGTGAAAACAAAAAAAGAAGCAAGAAAGACCCAGGGGGAAAAGGAACCGCTAGCAAAAACGACGCGACGCCGGGAATCCTCCAGGTAATATTTTGCTCAGAATTTGTATACTTAAGTATAGTTAGCTGCTTCTTATTTCTTTCTCCCCACAAACTGCATTTGTAAGAGCTGCCATAAATTCTGAGCAGACGCCGTCTTGCTTATAGCTACAGGTCGCTGAAAAAATGAAGAGCAGGAATAAAAAGAAAGTGACAGCACTTTGAGGGCTTTCCTTTTCCTGTAAACATCACAGATAGCTCATGTCACCTTCACACTATACACGCACACACGCGGGGGGAAAAAAGAAGGAGAAGGCAAGAAGTAGAGGGATCAAAGAGTTACGTTCGCAAACCGTTATATCACGTTTTGTGTTGACTCTTTGTGGCGTTTTCACTTTACGAAAAGGAAAACGTGAATTTGAGATCGAGAAATCGAATTCGGCGCTGTTTCCGCGCTTCACTTATCGTCTAAGAAGTGTAGGAGCGGCACTCCGTGCCATTATATTGTTCGCAAGAGCGTGCTCTATGGAATTATCAGGTATATAATGGAGGAAAATGTGGAGAACTATATACGCAAAGACGGTATATAAGACCGCTGTATATGGGCGTCTTGCCAGCCAGCTTTGTATAGGCGGCTATTTCTTTAGCCAAATGCACAGACATCATGCACGAGGTTTGCGCGCCACAAAATGACAATATAAAGTAAAACCTAACTTCGGCGATGCTATGCTCGAACTAATACACTTCAAAGAAAAACTAAGGCCCTGGAAAACATTATACTTTTATTCTTTTTTGTGTTTATTTTTCATCAGTAAAACGAACGGTGCCCCACCTGTATACACGGTATCACCAGAGCTGTTGTAAGCGGTGCATTGATGATAAGAAACAAATACGTTGCACTATACTCAGCCCAACTGGTGAATTCTGCCCACTTCAACTTTCCACCACTATCTTAAGCAATAGGAGGTCAGCGTTGCAGTCGTGGCAACACGGGAGTATACAAAGGAGCACCTGTACCGCGGTGCAACAACCGGCCGGAATTCACCCGCCGTGCGCGCGAACATCGAGGACAGGGCCTGCGCTCGAGAAAGCGCACACGATATCGAGATTACGTAGCGGATGAAGTCGTAAAAAGAAAGATCAAAGTGGCGCCCGCTACGACAATAAAAATGTCTCTGCAGTGCACGGCACTGTCGCGCCCCTTTGCTGGAGCCGATGCAGAATCAGAGCGCTCATAAAGCGCCTGTTTTTATGAGAACGGGTCATATAGCCGCAGGGATCACACGAACGCAAGAAACGGTTGACCTGCATACAGTTCTAAACTTATCGACGAAGTATAAGCTCACACGAGTCGGTATTCGCGTGCCACTATGCTATGCCAACCAAGTATAGGAGCGTGGTACACTTTTTTTCCCATATCTATGGTTATCTTATCCAACGTGGCGGCTAGCTGCGAATATCGCTTCTGTGAAAGCACTTCACTGAGTACTCCTAGCTCGATATATATACTTTCCGAAAATAAACGCGTAGATACGACTCGTCCTTTGCCTTCTTGTGCACCACGTCGCAAAAACGACCAGGCATATACAACGAATTAACTAAAAACAAAAAAAAAAACACTCCCCAGGCTGGGTGTAGTTCCGACTAAAGTGTGCGCAGCAAGAGAGAGCGTGTCACCTGAAACTTCAGAAAGTTGCTGTCAACATCGGTGGGATTCCGCTCCACCCCCAAAAAAACGCAAAAAACAAAAGAAAGAATACGGGGAAGTGAAGTGCTGCCAATACATTTAAACATACACATAAATCATTAACACCCCATCGGTGCCAGCCGTTGAAATCAAATAGTGAGGTTTAAAACTCCTAAATCACCACATGGGATGACGATTCGGATGACGATTCGGATGACGCATGGGATGACAGATGACGTATTTACTCCTAAAGCGAATATTTTACTGAGTACCTTCTCTATCAAAATGCGCCTCTGTGACTGGGAGCTAGTCGACCCGGGGACGTCATACTCAGCAGCAAAACATCATATCTACTGAGTCACCCTGGCAGTACAACTTGAAGAAGCTTCGCAAATGAAACAAAGTGAGGTGCCCTGCAATAGATCCTGGGAAGGTATGACGGACCACCTGGTATGCTACTCCAAATAGGAATGGTGAGAAATGAAACGACACCTACTATGCATTACCAGCCACAATACGCAACTTGCAGAGTAGGAGGTTCCGAGAAATCTGTAACAGCACGCGCGGTGTCCACGTTTTAATCATGGCCGCTCAACATACATTCCGCCAACAGGATTGCGGAGCACTGTACTGTATGCAGACCACTCGGTATTGGAAGCATATATAGGGAGAAACCTATCCCGCCTGTGGCGGCTGCATTTCCGTTGGAGGCGGAAATGTAGGCCCGTGTGCTCAGATTTGGGTGCACGTTAAAGAACCCTAGGTGGTCTAAATTTCCGGAGCCCTCCACTACGGCGTCTCTCATAATCAAATGGTGGTTTCGGGACGTTAAACCCCACATTTCAACCAATAGAGAGAAACCTGGAACCTTTTTATGAATAAATTTCATAAAAACGAGCTTGTTTGAGCTGGTTCCTACGATGGGTGGCGTCAAAAAAGGCGAAAGTGGGTTTCTTAAAATGTCACTGCCTGTGGGCGTTATCAGCGAAAAATGCTGTGGTCACTAAGTGGCGAATACGTAATAACTTTTTTTTTACCCTAACTATCGCCCACACCACGGGCATTTTTATTGCCGTTACAGACGACCAGTAAATAAAGAAAAAAATCGCATGAATAATCTGTACATACACAAACTCGCAATTGTGCTCTATAAGCTCTCTCCAGCACAGCATTCACAAACGTTGGCCCATCAAAACGAGACCGATACATCATCGATTGCGTTTTCATGAAGCCTTCTAGCATCACCGAAACGAAGGAGTGAATTCATTTACCTAACTCACCTGGAAGCAGCATACCAGCGCAGGCGCCTTCCCTGGACGAAGAGTCGTCGCTCGACGATGGTCCGGGATCGACTCCGGAGGACGCGCTCGTCCTACGGCTGACAGAGTCGACGCTCGAGCCGCCTCCGCTGCTGCTGCTTTTGGAGCATGGGCAAAAGGCGGCCGTCGGCTGGTCCTTGGCGGATTCGTCGTAGCCAGTGGGGCCTTCACAGTCGTCCTCGGGTTGCTGCAGCGGCGATGAAGCGTGGCCCTTGCAGGGACAGTTCTCCGGGCGGTGTCCGGAGAGCCAGTTCTTATTGGCCGCCAGCAGAGAGTCCCACTCGATTCTTTCTAGACCCCGCTCGACAGAGACGAGCAGGTGCTTGAGCAGAGTCACCAGTTGCTCGTCCGTCTCCTGTCCTGGGGCCGTCCAGTCCATGGCCAGGAGCCGTCCGAGGTCGTGCGCATCGATTCTCCTGCTACAGAGGTGCCCCAAGTCGTCGCGGTATTTGAGTACCAGCTTCGCCGGACAGGGGCCTCGGTCCTCGGGACCCACGGCGGCTGCCAGGTAGAAGTCACCGGGTCGAAGCAGCGAGGAGTCTATCTCGCACAGCTGTATTGCTACCCGGCGGGTGAAGCAGAGCGGCCACGCCTGGTGGATCTGCAGGCCACAGCAGCCGGCGCAGCACGCTCCGGAGTCCGGGCGCGCTTTCTGCGCGAAACGAGGCAACGTTGCGCTCAGAAAAGGCGATCAAACGAGCCGCCAGTAAGTTTTACCACAGGTGTTTCAAAGCGCTAAAAGGACGACGAAATTGGATCGCGCTAAAGCACGCAGGGACACAAGTGCCAGCGTTTTTACGTTGGCGTTAGCTTTAATTTTTCTTCGCTTGATTTTTTTTCTCGCTGTACGTTCCAACTCATTTTCTCTCTGTGTCCAACACGCCGACATGCACACAACGGGGTCACTTCTACGGCACAGCTAACACATATTTTATTTAGTACACATATACACAGAAAAGTTTCCTTCGTCCACTCCCAAAAGTAACATTGGCGCCGATCAGATGTACTGAATTTCCATCCTAAACTGCCGGAGAGGTTGCAAAAAAAAAAAAAAAAAACGGCACCCCATACTCAATAATCAAGGTCACTCTGTCCGAGCCCGCTGCATTCCGAGCGCACACTTGATTCTTCGGCGGAGTGAAAAATGTCCTCGCGGCGTTCCGTGACTTGAAACGACCAGCGCAACGACTTGTGACATTATGACATCACATTGTAAGCGCGGAATAAAACGAAAAACGCTCATTCCAGCAATGTCGATGCAAGGGGACCTCGTATACGACATAAATGGACCCGGCTTCACGAGACCCGCTATATCGCGCAAAGAGAAAATTACGGTGACGTATGAGCAGCCTCGTCGGTTAACCGGAAACCGGACCCGATAAATGAGCAAGATAGACTTGTTCCTAGGTCAGCCATTAGACCGTGCGTATGCGCGCGCTGCCTAACAAGGTCCTAAAAGGGGCGCAGCAAAGAAACGTAAAGAAGGAATGATGACGCTCAAGGATAGGGCTCTGTATAAACCCAGCACGGGAGGGACACACAGTGCCTGCTTTTGAACAAAAACGGCAAGCGCGCCCGCACGCGATATCCTCGCGGCAGCAACCGTCACGGACGGAACTCGCAATGACCGTCCGGCTCCAAAGCAAAGCTGTTGCACAGCAATGAAAACGGCGAAGGAAGCGGGCATGGGCGGCGGCTGCGCCAGGAAACAGTTATGCCACTTACGAGCGTATATAGTAAGTGCGTGCCGTGTGATTTTGCTAACGCGCAGTATACACCGCCTAATAACCATTCCAGAAGAAGGAAAGCACGTCCCAGAGGCCTGAACGGCCAAGGCGCTCCGCTATGTTCTGAACAATTGAACCCTCTCCGCGGAGTAAAGCACACCTCGATACCTTAGTTGGGCGTAAAAATAGACGCCGAGAGCTTTGTGTCCGTTGTATAGAACGACAGGTGGTCGAAATAAATGCGCATCACTCCGACATGCGACGTCTATCAAGTCTATGGTGCTGCTTAGAAAAAAAAAAGGTCGTTATATATGAACACACACGTCTACCACACAGGAAAGTCCCAATAAAATGAGTTCGGTCATGCCTGAGCGAGCACCTTCTATAAAGAATGAGAGAAGCGATAACCTCGAATGCTGGGCATAACCACAATAGACAAATGAAGTATTGCGATTGACTGGTCACGGAAAAAGAAATGTGTGAAATAGAAACGTGAATCACTCTATATGTGGCTCTGAAATTAAGATCTGCACAAGTTCATAGGGGTGAGTATTCCTTGAACGGCACCACATTGTCACAGGAATGGTTATTTAACGCACACTCCATGGAGACTCGCGTTAGACGGGATATGTCGAAATATGCACGTCGACAGCATATACGGACACATCGAAGCGCCAGGAAAGCTATAGGTACGAGTGAAACAGTAAAAACTTCCTCTCTCTCTATCTCTCTGCCTTTTAATCCTATCCTTTTATTCCCTTCTCTACCCCCATCCCTCGTGAGCTACTGTTGAGATGTCCTCCCCTTAATAGGCAGTTACGGGGCTCACTTTTCTCTGCTTTTTATTTATAATCACCCCCTCCTCCGTGCCACTCTTTTTACAAAACTAGCTGCTGCACCTGAGCGGAAAGCCTATATGCAAGCCACTGCTTTTGCAATACATCACGCATTTAGACAAACAAACAAACAAACAAACACAATTCTTCCAGTACGTTTCACAGACTGACGGCGACTGTGCTTATACAAAGGCAAAATCGAGCGGCTTTAGTGAGCAAGCGCGTAATAATGCGCTGTTGCCTCGTTAGAACAAAGTATAGACAGTCTTACGCTGGAAATAATGTTATAGCAGCTGATGTTCGCCTGTCAGGCTAAAAAAAAATGCTTATAAAAGGTGTCAAGACAGCTTCTGTGAAACTCCAGGAATATAGTCATTAAAAAATTATCCGCTTAACCTCGATGGGAGGCCCCGCCGCTGCGGCCTAGTAGATACAGCACTCGACTGCTAACTCGATGGTCACGGGATCGAATCCCGGATGCAGCGGCTGCATTTTCGATGAAGGCGAAAATGCTGGAGGCCCTTGTGCTTAGGTGCCCGTAAAAAAACGTCAGGTGGTCGGAATTTCCGAAGCCCTCCACTACGGTGTCTCTTACTGTCATATCACGGTTTTGGGATGCTAAACCCCACATATTATTAACCTCGATAGGCGGTTAGCTATAGCCTCGTTCTGCTTACTCATCGGATCGTCCGTCGTCACTTACTGTGAACTCAACAGAGCAAAGAGAATCCTCCGCACATATAGTGATCAAGTGCATAAGAAAACGGCTTCAACGAGATTGAGAAGCAGCGCACACTGCATGCGACAACCGTAACAACGGGACAAAGATGGAGGTCTGAATTCTTGCGTGCCCCAAATATCTCGTTGAACCCCTGTAACCCGGGGTCGCAAACAAATTAAGTGATGTGCTCAACAGCGGTGGTGGGATGAATTCTGAAGAGCTCGGCGAAAAAGGTCGAATAATTAAATTTAGTATAGTGGCGATGAAGATAGCCATGAAGGCCGAGCCCGCAAGGTGACCAAGGGTGGAGCATAAGCTCGGCAAGAATTCGGTGGCAACACAGACGTGAGTCTGCTTGTACGGCCGTTACGCGGTCACATACTGCGGAAAAAACTATTCCAGAAGTAGTTCCGCATACCAGTGGTGCTTCTTTTGACCGTACAGGATAGACTTCCAGTTCTGTAGACGCCCGATGACGCGCCGATATAAGGTTTTACGATGACTGCCGCTATAGATGTGCTTTATCGCAGCGGAACCTGCTTCTAAAGACCAAAACGAAAAACAAATCCAGCAGATATATATATATATATATATATATATATATATATATATATATATGCGCGCGCGCTTTGAACCAAGCGTTACGAGGTGGATGAACGTCTCCTTGGGTTCTCTGCAATAGTGCACAATATCGTGGGCTTGGCTTATCAACATCGAAACTGGCGACTAAAGGGTAGCTTATTGCCACTTCTGCCGAATCGAAGGGTTTGTATACGGGCATACATGGGTAGCAGTCATCGGCATAATTCTCCTCGGTCCAGTAACTCCTGACAATAGCTTGTTGAGTCACAGGAGTACATATGTAATGTTTATTGCATTGATACAGAAGCGGATATAGCCAACACTGCAACGACGAACCACGCTGCCCCGCCATGATGCCTGTACTTACAAGCCCCCCCCCCCCTTTTTTTTTTTTCAAAGCAGTGAAGCACTGGCGGGGCTCTAGCTGCAATAGAACATTTGGTGAGTGACTCCCCTCCAGGCTCGAACCGTGATTTTTATTTTTTTGCGTCCACCGGAATTTTTCGTTGATCGACAATACCGCCAACGCCGGCGCGCGTTTTCCTCATCGTTCCTTAACGCTGTGGCGTCAAGGTTTACAAAGTCTACTCTCTCCATTCCTGGGCTGATATGCACTGCACCATCACCTCTTCGCCGAGTAGAGAACGTCACGCCGATGTGATGTGTGACCACATCGCGATGACCTTCCACTCGCGGGGGGCTATAGGATAGTCATCCACCGGATAAATAAATAGTCTTTTCTGTACCTCTCTGCGGGGCGTAGCTGCATTCCTTGGCCGGGGTATGTGGGTATGCACCACACGTGACTATGCGAAAGGGTTTCATAAAGTTCGCGATGGGCATGTGATGCTACTTACATCGTAACCCGTTTGTTAACCTTGTTCGTGATACCCTGATGTCATCTTATACCATGTTAAGGAGACGGCCACAGGTGCATCAGAAGACGGACGGACGGACGGACAGATAAATAGATAGAAAGAAACTGTCAAGTACCTTTGGTTCACTAAAAAATGCTTCGCGTTTTGGAACAACAGATACGTCGTATTGCGAACTTTGACTCGCGTGCACAGACGTGCTCTGAGTCGCATGGGAATCGCAATGGAACGCCACACATCGGTTGCCACCGTTCCCCGTCTGGCGCTCCCCCATCCGTTTTTTATGATCATCCCTTTGCTACAAAGAGAGAGAGAATGAAAGGTACAAGGTGGCCTGAGGGGAAGAAGGAAGAGGCGAACTCGAGACGAGGCATCTGAAGCAGACAAAACCACCCATGAAACTATCCCACTTTTTCACGACCTTAAATAAAATGAAAAGGTGAAAATGCAGCCAACGCGAAACTAGTAAAACGAAACCGCGGTCCCACTACAGTGTGGCGGAGACAGAGCTAAAGTTACACTCGCCAGAGACCTTGCCTCTTCCCACAGGACTCGCATACGGCCTTCAACAAAAGCAGCGGCGCTTGCAGGGGTCAGGTTCGCGGGAAAGCATGGACCCCGCCCACTATGCGAACCACGGTGGCGTCTGATTGGCGGGCGTCCAGGCGCGGAGCCGATCCGTGACTTGAGACGGGGAAGAGCGAGCGGTCGCCAGACAGACGGGAACCTGGTCCCTCTGGGGGCCAGGAGTGGCACACCAAACTTCTCTCTCTCTCACAAACGTACACATTCACCCATTCGAAAACGGCAGAACTTGAATTAGAACAAAAGTCGTGCCTGTGGACGAAAACTCGCACCTCAAGATATTATTATTATTATTATTATTATTATTATTATTATTATTATTATTA